CTTCTTCCTTCCCAGCCACCAACCACTAACCACCAATCCATAACCCCCCAACCAACCCAACGGCCGCCTGCCTCCTTCAGACGCCGACTGGGATCGGGAGCTGTTCCGCCACCATAAGGCCTGCATTGAAACCCTGGAGTCCCTGCAGCCCACCTCCCAGGCACATTCAGACCGCATGTCCCTGGGGGGCGTAGGGGGAGGGGGGGGAGCGGCAACTGGACACGCGGGGCATGTCACGGAGACAGGGTTAGCTGCGCCGCGTGCCTCACTGCCCCCCGGTGTCATATTGGGCTCGGGGCTGCAGCCGCCCGGAGGCGGCGGAGGCGGCGTTGGCAACGCCAGCGGGCTGAGCAGCGCGCGCTGCGGCCTGACGCCGCACCGCATCTCCGTCGGCGGCAATGACGACCCGGCCGTGACTGCTGGAGGCGGCGGCGGCGGCAGTGGCGGCGGCGGCGGCGGCGTAGGGTCAGTGGCAGGAGCAGCAGCCGGAGGAGGTGCAGGAGGCGGGCTGGGAGAGCGCGGAGGTGGCTCGCAGGACAACAGCCGGCAGCTCAAGTTGGCTTGCGAGGTCAAGCACCCTGATGCAACGTAAGGGGGTGCACGGGGGGCTACAGAGCCCTGACTGAGGCACGACACGCTTTCCGGGACTCCCCCCCCTCCACCACCATTAACTTCCATCTCACCTCACCTCGCCTCCCCTCATCCAGGAGGGGCCGCACTCCCGCTCTCACACACTCTCTCCCTACCTCGTCTCCCTACCTCGCTGCTCCACCACCCCCCCCCCGCCATCTCCGCGGGCTCTGGCAGTTGCTGCCCTCACCAGGGTTTGTCTTTAAAAAAACACTCTCCCTGGAGTATCCGTCGTTATCTCTGGTATTAGCATCGCTCGTCTGCAGTTCGACCTCCGCCCTGGACGCCTCCCACTCCCCACTCCCGCATCTAATCCTCGTTCACGTGGGGCATGTTGCACCGTGTGTCCATCACCCCAACCCACCTGCTGCAACTCCGCCGACACCGCCACAATATATCCAACGGCCTCGCACGACCGCTTCCTGGCCCTTCCTTCCCCCCGCTTACACGTGCGACGTACATACATGCATGGAAACGCATGCAAACGCACGTGTGTTTGCAGGCTTGGCGGCATACCCAGCGCTGCGGAGTTCGCCGACTGGACTCGATACACTCGTCTGGGAGTACTGTACCGCGGATTGAGGGTGCGAATGGGAGGTGAGCTGTGCTGTCGGAAGGGGGGGGGGAGCCAGCTGTCACCTCATCAGGCGGCTTGTGATAGCTGTGCATCGCAGAACATATACACATACATACATACATACATACATACATACATACATACATACATACATACATACATACATACATACATACATACATACATACATACATACATACATACATACATACATACATACATACACTGTCTGTGTCTGTCTGTCTGTCTGTCGCAGTGGCCACGGGTGTCACCGACGCCATCACCTCCCACGCCATCACCCAGCGGATGGAGTACAGCGGGGAGGTGTACCGCAGGGTGCAGGCGGTGGCGGACCTGCCGCATGGGGGCCAGGTGGGGGGCTGTGTGTGTGTGTGTGTGTGTGTGTGTTGGGGGGGGGAGCTGTGAGGGGATCGAGGGGAGGGAGGGCAGAGGCAACCGCAGCAAGCAGGGTGGGGATGTACAGGCTGCCCATGATGTGCGGGGACCCCCCGGCATAGCGACCCTAGCTACTGGGGCCTTAGATACCAGTATGAGTGAAAAAAACGTAGGGTGGCGACGGGCGATGAGAGTCGTTAGGGGAGCAACCGCCCTAACCGCTGAGGATAGCGTTATTGCCGTTTACTGGCAGTTGTCGACGGGAATGTTAACTCCAACCGACCGACACCGCCGCCGCCGCCGCAGGTCCTGCTCGACGCCCACACCTTCAATGCCATTCACAACAACCTCAACGACCTCGGCATCCGTGCCGTACAGATCCTTACGCGCGACAAGCGCAGCAGCACCAACGGCGCGCACGCCGCGTTTCCCGGAGGCCCTCGTCGCAACGACCGCCGCCGGGGCTCCCGCTCCGTTCGGCAGCGGCAATCCCTGGACCTTGCCTTCGCTCCGGAAGCAGCGGAACCAGCGCGCCTCGGCATATTGCACCGCGGCGGCGGCGCCGCCGGTACGGATGGCGACGAGGACGGCGGTGCCGCCGCAGCGGCGGTGGCTGTAGCTGCCGCCGGCAGCGGCTGCAGCGGCAACGGACTGAGCGCCGCCACCTCCGGTCGTACGATGTCCATTGGCGGCAGCTGGATGCGCAATGCCGGTGGAGGTGGCGGAGGCAACGGCGGCGGTGGCGGTGGCGGTATCGCCGTCACGCCGCTCAACTCGATAATGTCCGTAGTGGGCAGCCGGTTGGGCATCATGTCGCCTCCTTTCGCGCGGGGCTCCTCCCCGACGATGCGCCAGTCAGCGGGACCGGAGGTACGGCACAGCAGTGTAAACACGGCAAACACGGGCGTGTGTGAACTAGGCTTCTGCGGTCTAGGAAACATCCCCCCGTAGAAAAACCCTAACACGCAATGTACGGCAAAGCTCGCCACCGCCACACAGCCCAGGCGTGTGATCAGCGCAGCATATGAGGCCGTCCCTTCTCCCCCAGCGGCGCTTGCAGTCGTGTCGCCGTCGAGGTAACGTTATGGTCACGTGTGTTCACTTGCCATTCCTTTAATCCCCGTGTCGTACTTCATCTCCCCCTGCAGCCCTCCGCGCGCTCCTCCTTCCTGGGGAGCCGTACAAGTCCTGGCCATGGGAACCACCACATCCATCACCCTAAGCAGCACAATCACCCCAACAGTAACAACAACAATAACAACAATAACAATAACAATATCAGCAGCGGCAACAGTACCAAGTTACAGCTCCAACGCAGTAGCGGCGGCGCCGGCGGGATCGCCAGCGCTGCCGGCGGCGGCGACACCCGCAGCGGGGTGCTGCCGACGGCGGATGGGCCCAGCAGCCTCGGCGGCGCCAGCAGCTGCAGCGGCGGCCCGCCTGGGGGACGTGCGTTGATGATAATGGGAAGCGGAAGCGGTGCCTCCATAGGGGCCCGTACGCTGGCGGGCCTTGGGGCTAGCGGAGGCGGGGTTTCCGGGGCGGCGGCGCCGCCGCCGAGCCCCGCCAGCATCCGGCCGCGGCTGTCCAGCGCCACCGGCATGTACGGCGGTCCTATCAG